TTAACGGGGCCCTAAATCTGGTGAGCGGCGTGTGGATGAGAACCAGGGAATTTGGACGCAGACGAGGGATGGGGCCACATGAGGACGAGACAGACTGCAGGGAAGCCTCAGGATTGTAGGCTGCCCAGAAGCTGAGAGAGGAGGGAAGAAGCGTCCCCTTCAGAGGGAGCAGGGCCTTGGTGACACCTTGACTTTGGATTTCTAGCCTCTAGAACCCAGCTCTGTTGTCCCATGCAGCCCGCAGTTTGGAATCCAGATCTCTCACCGGCACCCTTCCAGCTCATGACATCTGGGAGCCCTCTACCCCATTCCTGCCACCTAGTTGGGCTCCGGGGTTGCATTCCCTACCACACCAAGGCCTCCTATGCCCCAGTGCTTTTGCACCTCTCACCCCTCTGTCCAGAGTGCTGCTTCCTGCTTTCTCTGTTGGCCTCCTGCAAGGATGTGCTGTGCCTCTTCCTATCTTGCTTTGGGGAGTCACGGGCCCGGCCCTCAGAGAAGCAGCTCTTGGAAGAACAGACTGGGTGAGGGCAAAACTGTGAGTGCTGGAGAGGACCAGCGGGAGCACCAGCAATTTGGAGCGTCTCTGCGGCTCAACAGGGCAGACCTCAGAGGCCGCTCCTGGCTCAAGTCCGCCCTCACATTCCAGCCTCTGGCTTTGGATTTCCAGGGCGTGAGACAAGGGAATTGGAGATGCACTTTGACCATGCCCCCTGCCCTGCCTGTGCTCCAGGACTTGGAGGGCATTGCACTTGGGCACAGCTGCCTCAGTCTCTGCTCTGGGGCTGGCGAGGCCGTTTCTGGTGCACGGCAAACACACAGTCTCTTTCTGGGTGGAGGGAGGCTTTTCCGAGGCTCGAGACTGGGCTGACAATGTTGGGGCCTCACAGCATGACATCCCCAAAGCCCAGCCCAGGGAACCAGAGAGGTCTAAAAGGTTACTCCTTGGCCACTTGGTGGTTTCTAGATGTCCGGACAGATGTGCCATTGTGCCTTCTCGGTAAGGTCCAACACCCCTGTCCCTTCGTCCCCCTCCAGTTCCCCCCCCCGCACCACAGCCTCAGGGAGGCTCCCCAGGCCTTGGGGGGCACCACAGCCCTGCCCCCACCCAACTACACACCCCGCAGTCGGGCTGGGTCTTTGCAAAGAGGACGTTACAGACTAAATCACGTTCCCCACCCCCAACCCAAATTCACATACTGGACCAAACCCCAGAGTGACTGCATTTGGAGATGGGCCTTTAAGAGGCAATCAGGTTAAAGGAGATCACAAAGGGGGCCTTGATCCCATCAGGTTGTGCTTTATAAGAAGCGGGAGCGACTGGGGCGCCTGGGTGGCTCAGTGGGTTAAAGCCTCTGCCTTTGGCTCAGGTCATGATCCCAGAGTCCTGGGATCGAGCCCCACATTGGGCTCTCTGCTCAGCGGGGAGCCTGCTTCCCCCCTCCCCACCCCTGCCTGCCTCTCTGCCTACTTGTGATCCCTGTCTGTCAAATAAATAAATAAAATCTTAAAAAAAAAAAAAGAAGAAGGGGGAGCAACAGGAGTGATCTCTCTGCATGGGAGTGAGCACAGAGGAAAGACCATGGCCAGAGGGCAGCCGACTACAAGCCCGGAAAAGAGCCCTCATTGAGCCCAACACTGCCGGCCCCCTGACATGACTTCCTGCCTCTAGGAAGGTGCGAGAGTAATTGTCAGTGGAACCCTGTTTTGTCCGCATAAGCAGACTGGGACAGAGGAGGAGACCAGAAGCCATGAGCCGGCTCGTCTGGAGCACAGGACAGAGAAGGGCAGAGCTGAGGAGGGCGCAGTGGTGCTCAGAGCCCTCTACCACTTCGTGCCCTGAACCCACAGTGGCCACACATGTTTGGGACGGTTGGGGTGGGTGCCACATGAAATCAGCTCCGTGTGTGTGTTGGGCTGTGGGAGAGAGAATGCTCTGGCATGGCCCCAGGCCGGGACAGAGAGATACAAACAGGAAGAGGGGCAGAGAGACCAAGGAGGGAGGGAGAGACAGAGAGAGACACAGAAAGGGGAGAGACATAGGAGGGAAGGAGAAATGGGGGAGGGAAGGAGAAAGCAAAGGGAGTGTAATTCTAATTGGCAAATCTGGGGAAAATCTACAGATATGCCTTACACTATTCTTGTAATTTTTTATTCTAAGTTTAGAACAATATCAGAATAAAAAATTACAAACAAAACCCACGGCCACTTGCTTGTGGAGGGAAGGGCAGACTGAGACCCCAGTCAGGCATCTGTCCCCCCCTGTCCCTGCCTCTCCTTAGCTGTGAGATGCTGGCCAAGATGCCCCCTCAGCTTTCCGTCCATCTCTAAACCTGCTTCCACTGGCCTCAGGGCCTTTGCACACACTGCTCTCTGAGCTTCGAATGCTCAGCCCCTACCCCTAGCCTTCTTCATCCTTCACAGCTTAGGACCAGTGTCCTCCCCAACCTCTCTACTCTCTCCAACCTGGTCAGACACGCCCGCCCCCAGGTCTAGGCATTCCCCCAGCTACCATGAACCCAGCTTCAGTTTTATATTGGGTTTATAAGTTTATAAGTTCACAAGGGAAAAGTGTGTTTCTGCCCCAGACTGAATGCCCCACAGGCTGTCTTGTCTTGTTTGCCGTGTGTCCCCAGTGTCTTGCCCAGGGCCTGGCATACAGTGGGTGCAGAGCCTTACAGAGAATGGAGATAAAAAGCGGCGAGCTACATCCTCTCCGGGCTGCCCTCTGGGGCAGAGGTGAAGAAAGATGGTACAAGGTCATGGTGGCAGGAGGGGCTGTGGGCACGGGGCCAGCCCTCGGGCACCCTGAGCTGGACGATGCCTCCGGGGAGGGATCACTGAGCTGGAAGGAACAGAACTGCGGGCTGTCGGGCACCAGACAGAAGAGCTTCTGTGGTCGGGCACCCGGCTGCCCCAGCAAGGAGCTGCTCTCCCATCTTGCGGAGCGAGGAAGGCAGATGCTGCGGCTGAGGACTGGCTCCCGCCCCCGGCTGCACAGTGGGGCCACTGTGCTGCAGACACTGGCCCACTGAACCCGGAGAGGGACCCTCTGCAGCTGGAGAAACTCACTTGAAATTCACATCTGCAGCTGCCCCATTCGTCTCAGCAAGGCTTGGGAGGGGGCTGGCTTTTACGTGGTGGGGGGGGCAGGGAGCGGGATGAACAAGGCCCCGCTGAGAAAACCCGTCCGAGGGGGACTATGCGCTCCGTGGCCTGCCTCACGCGGACAGCCCACCCCTGCCGCCTCGTGCCGCACGCCTCAGCCAGGTCCCCCAACGGCTCTGCGAGCGAGGGATTAACGTCCCCGCTTCACAGACACAGAAACTGAGGCACAAGGAAGTCTTTGGCCCCTCAGCGGCTGGGATTTTCTGGAGCTGGAGACCCTCTTCCCATGTGCTTTTGCAGAGAGACGGTTACATCATGAGCTCCTGGGCATCAGCCCCTGCGGTACCCTGTTACGGAAGGACGGAGGTGGGCCGAGTGTCCCGCCATCGGATTAAGGGAGCCTGTGCCAACCACGTTCCTTACCCCACGCCGCCCCGAGGAGCAAACAGAGGGACACGAGGCCTGGTGGCTCACATGTCTCCACTCCCTTCTCGCACGGCGTCTTACTCCTGCCCGTGACCGTCGCCCGCTTGCGCAATAGCTACTGAGCGCCGACCGTGCGCCGGGGTCTGTCCTCTTGCTGCCATACAATGGCAGTCCAACCCAACGCCCCAGCTGGGGGGGGGGGGTCTGGTGGGGGAAACACTACAAACAAGATACTTATGTGACGTATTTAAGGTATTAGACTTGCCGAGTGTCCTGTGGCTAAGAACCACCGTGCACTTAGTGGCTTACAGCAGCACACATTCGTTCTCATACGATTCCAGAGGCCGGAGGGAGTCCGAAATCGGCTTCACGGGGCTGAAGGCAAAGTGTGGGCAGGGCCGGTTCCTTCTGGAAGCTCGAAGGGAGAATCTGGGAAAGGTTTGAAAACAGGCTCTCCCTTCGAGCTTCCGGAAGCACCCTTGCGATGACGTGGGGACAGCTCAGGGTCATGTCCCCATTTTGAGGTCCTTAACTTCATCACGTTTGCAGAGTGACTTTGCCGTGCAGGGGAACAATCGCAGGGCACGGGGATTAGGATGTGGAAGTCTTTGGGGGCCGCTGTTTAGGAAGGAAACCATTCAGGGACTGAGCCAGTGGGTGATGAATGGCCCCAAGAGGTCCCCTCCGGGAGGGAGGCTTGTGCGCTGAGATCCGAAGGAAGCAAGGGAAGCACGGTGTCTGGGAAGGGCATTCCAGGCAGAGGGAACAGCAAGTGCAAAGTCTGACAGTCAGCACCGGGAAGGAATGGGAAGGAGCTTCTAGAACTGGAGGGGCGTGAAGGGGATGTGGTGGGAGAGAGATGGAAGAAGGAGGGGAGGGTGAACGGGGATTTTCCCTGGGGAGGGTCTCTGCCCACAGGTTTTTTTTTTTTTTAAAGATTTTATTTATTTATCTGACAGAGAGAGAACACAAGTAGACAGAGAGGCAGGCAGAGTGAGAGGGAGAAGCAGGCTCCCCGCTGAGCAGAGAGCCTGATGCGGGACTCCATCCCAGGACCCTGGGATCATGACCTGAGCCAAAGGCAGAGGTTTTAATCCACTGAGCCACCCAGGTGCCCCTGCCTGCAGGGGTTTTAAGCAGGAGTAGGATGAGATCCCTCTGCCTGCCACAGGTAAAAAAAAATGTGGTAATACCTGGATTCATGGGAACACGTGTAAGAACATAACAGTCGTGAGAAGGCTGTCGAAGAATGATCAGAGCTCTTAAAACAGCGTGGGAATGGGGGGTTTCGGGCGGCTTTGGTGGAGGTGAGGGGGTGAGGAATCAATCATAAAAAAATTCAGCAAATATTTGTTACGTGCCTGGCCCCATGCACCGGCAGCGTCCCCCACACCCCAGCTCAGAGAAGCAGTGGGTATTCCCCCAGCAAATGCGACAGGTGGGATGTGGAGACAGAGAAGCGGTACCTGGGAAGACCTTCGTCCTGCCATTCTTCCTTCACATCCACGTTTTCCATCCGGAGCGTGGCTTCAGTGGTCCCCATGAGAACCGAGGAGAGGCGCTGACGTGAAGCAGAGATGAACCCTGAAGGTGGGCCAAACGGAAGCCTTACTGGACGGTCATCGTACTAACAATCCCCCACCCACGTGTGGCCCTTCAGATCAACATGCGGAATGTTGCATCCTTCCTTACACTGAATCACGGACGAGCCCAAGGAGGTTTCCCCAGGTCCCAGGTGAGAAAACAGAGATGTAGAGAGCTGACTACCACTACATGGGTCTGGAATTTGAACCCAGGTGAGGGGCTGAGTCACCAGGTATCAGCCCACCTCGCTATGAAGCTCTGAAATCCGTTCTCCTTAGGGCTCATCATCCCTCCCTTACCTTGGATTTAAACTGGGAAGCAATAAATCCAACTAAAATCATTTATACTAAAGTGTTAGTGACTGATATACTTAAGCTTCCTCGCTGGGACTCTTTTTTGGTTTCTTTTAAAAGATTTTTAAAAGTTTTATTTATTTATTTGAGAGAGACCGAGATTAAGAGCGAGAGAGCACAAGCAGGATGAGAGGCAGAGGGAGAAACAGACTCCCCACTGTGCAGAGAGCCTGATGCGGGACTCCATCCTGGGACCCCAGCATCATGACCTGAGCCGAAGGCAGGTGCTGAACCAACTGAGCCACCCCAGTTCCTGGGGCTGACGCTTTCAAATAGGACCTGGTTGACCCCAGCCCACCTCTACCTTCTCCAGGCTACCTGCTCTGCTCCTTTACCCCCAACAAAGAAGCAGGTCTCGACCCCACGACCTCAGGACTAGGGCCGGCAGCATGGAAAGAGACTGGGGCTGGAAGCTGGGGTCGTAATTCTTACTAAGCACAAAACACAAGTTTTGTTTTTATTTTTCTGAGGAGCTGGGAACCGGATGGGGAGACAGGCAGCACCCTGAATGGTGACTCCCCCGGTCACCCCTCGCAGCTTCAGTAGCCCCATCTGCAAACCGAAAAGTTGCACTAGAGAGGAGCTTTATGTAATACCTTTTCCGACATAACATTCCAGGATCTTAAACTTGGTCAACTTCATGGGTTCCACGCTTTGAAACCAGTGGCTTCCAACTGCAGATAATGTTGCCCTCGCCCCTCCCCCCAGGAGACACTTGCCAATGTTTACAGGCATTTTGGTGTCCCAGCTTGGGGAGGGGGCTACTGGGATCAAGTGCACGGAGCCCAGGGATGCTGCTCAACACCGCAGGGGGCTCAAGATGCACCCCCCTCAGGACCAAGAACGATCCAGTCGAACTGCCAGTAGATGAGGTCGAGAAACCCTGTCTTAATTGCACGCTTGGGAAGGGAACTCGGGCTGGGCTTGACAGTCACTACAGAGGGCTGGCTGTGTCCTTGCCGCCCATCCTCCAAGCAGCTCCTGGGTTTTTATTCGAACACGCCAGCACCTAAGCCTTCCCCTCCCCCCGCCCCCCGTCCCCACCCTTCCAGATGCCGAGGCTACCCCTCTGCAGAGCCGGTGCAAGGCTAACGGTTTGGGCGCGGATAGCAGCCCCCGTGGGCGGGGTCTGCACTCGCGGTTGCGGGTCGGGTCGGGGTCTGGAGAGGGAAGAGGGAAGGCCAGGCAGCGGGGGAGAGGTAACTAAAATTAGACACCCCCCCTCCCCCGCCACACACACTTGGGTGAGAGTTTCCCACTGGATTCTTGTCACCGTTCTGAATGTCGTCATTCATTCATGGAGGAGGGACAGTAAGACGCAGTACGCCAAAAAAAAAAAAAAAAAAAAAAAAAAAATCTCTTCCTATGCCTGGGGCGAGAACCACCAGAACCTTGCTGCAGGGGAAAGTTCGGGTCAATGGAAATGAATTTCCTTTCAGGGGAGAGCGAGGTCTCTGCATCTGTTTTCTTTATCCCGAGCAGAGTGTGACCTCAGCCCCCAGGAAGCACAACCCCCCCCCCAATCCCACCTGCAGCCGGGACCCTGGAGCCACACATGCCGGCCCCACGATCCTCTCAATGTGGGGTGTGGTGGGTCCCCGTGGGCCCTGCACACTCCTGTCCTAAGATCCCGACTACACGTTTGAGGATGGAGAATGAGGCAAGGCGAGGGGCCGCTCGGCTGCGAGGCTCGGCTCTGTGCTGTTGAATTACCGGTGTGTCACATTCAAATTCAGACAAGGGAGGAGGAATCAGTGCTCAGCCTTCTCCCTTCCTTCCCACCCCATAGGCAAGCCTCTGTGTACACATCTAGCAAGTCTTTTTTTTTTTTTTTTCCCTCCAAATCCGCTCACGGTGTTATAAATAGGGAATGCACAGAGATGGGACGTGTACATCTCGGTCTCTTAGGAAGCGTCTCAGAGAGAGGCTGAGGGTTTTATCAGCCTAATCTCTAAGCACGTCCTGAAAATGGTGCAGTCCTCCGCCGAGCAGGTGCACGGTAGGCACGGAAGGCGGACTGTGGGTGTGTATGCCTGCGGATGGTTTTCCCCGGCACCGGGAGACATGGCTGTGTTGCCATCCGGAGAATCACAAGACCGCGGCTCCCCGCCTGCTCCAACCCGCCCCACCTGCCAGAAGGGGCTTTGCGGCCGCGGATGCCTCAGGACAGACCTCGCAGGGCAGGGCTGCGAGAAAGGAAGGGGGACTCACCTCGGAGGCCTCCGCCGGTTACGCGCAAACAAAGGCGAGCCCCGCGCGGAGGCAGCCGGACACCCCTCGCCTTCGGAGCGCGGTCCCCCGGCCTTCAGAGCATCCGAGGAGGACGCGCGCAGGGGCGGACTCCGAACCCGGGGAAGGTCACCCGAGCAACGTGGCGGCGCAGATGGGCGCTTTCATCCGGAGGTGGGGGACGGCTGCAGCGAGCGGGCGGCGGCCCCTCGGCCGGCCGCGCTCGAGGCCCCTGCCACCGCCGCGGACCGTGCCTCCGAGGTGTTTTCTCCTCGCCAGCTCGCAGCTGGCGGAGGCTCGGCTGCCTTGAGACAGTTAATTATGCTGCTTTTGTGTGCAGGGTGGGTGAGTGGGGGCAGGGCCGACCGAAAAGCACAGCCCCTGCCAGAATCCGTTGCTCCCCATTGGCTGAAAGGGGAGTATTTCCAAGAGCCTCACCAGGGGCAGAAGCGGAAATGATTTCCCGATGGCGCATCACAGATTTAAAAACAAAACAAGGAACAAACAAACAAATAAATAAACGACTGCGATGGCCTCATTCCCTAGATTAGGAGGGAGGGATAGAGGGAAGGGAAATAGCTTTAGGACCCCATTCCCTGGGTCCCTAGCCGGCCGCTCCCTGTGGACCGAGCCGCGCGGGCTGAGGACCCCGCTGCGTGCTGGGGAGGCCGAATCCTCCGAGACACACTTGCTGGGGAGGGGGTGGGCACCGAGGGAAAGGCGCCCCCTGCAGTTGTGCGCCGCAGGGGCCCTGCCTTGGCGGACGCATGAAGAGTGCAACCTCTGAAATCCGATCAGAAGGGGGTTCGAACCCTGGCTGGGAGGCTAACGAGCGGGGACACACCACGGAGTGAGTGATCTTACCTGCCGGGCCTCAGTTTCCCCATCTCTGAAACGGAAACATCATGGTACTGGCGTTTGGGCGTGTCATGAGATGATGTAGGAGAGCACTTCGCAGGGCGCCCGAGAGAGCTTCTCTACGTGGTTTGTGTTGCTGTGTCTGTTTTTAGACCCGTAGCGGGTTGAATGGTGGCCCCCACGAGACGTGACCATGTCCTAACCTCTGGAACCTGTGAATCTGACCTTATTCGGAAAAAAGGTCTTTGCAGACGGAATTAGGAATCCAGGACTCTCATCTGGAGATGAGGTCCGGTAGATTTATGGTGAATCCCAAATCCAACCACAATTGTCTTTACATCTGCAAACCAAGGAATGCCAAGGATAGCCAGCAACCCCCAGATCCTGGACAGGCATAGAATGGATTCTCCCTCACAGTCTCCAAAAGCAACCAACCCTGTCAGTACCTTGAGCTTCAACTTCTGGCCTCCAGAACTGCCAGAGAATAGATTTCTGTGGTGATTTTTTTTGGGGGGGTGGGGGACCTGCACCTGGTTTCTGATACTTTGTTACAACAGCCCCAGGAAATGAACCAATCCCCCCACCCCAGTAGGAGCCCGATGCCTATTGCTTCCTGTTCTGTAAACACATCCCACCACAGGACCTTTGAACCTGCTGTTCCCACTGCTGGGAACACTCATCTTATGTTATTCAGGTGTCTCTCCTCAGAGAGGCCTTCCCCAACCACTGCTATCTTGCCCCTCACTCTCTTACCCCATTCCATTGCCCAGTCTGATTTTTTTTTAGTATATACATTTTTAAAAAGATTTTCATTTATTTATTTGACAGAGAGAGAGAGAGAGAGAGAGATCACAAGTAGACAGAGAGGCAGATAGAGAGAGGGGGAAGCAGGCTCTCCGCTGAGCAGAGAGCCCAATGTGGGGCTCGATCCCAGGACCCTGGGATCATGACCTGAGCTGAAGGCAGGGGCTTAACCCACTGAGCCACCCAGGCGCCCCAAGTATATACATTTTAAAATTGTGGTAGAATACTCATAATATAAAATTTACCATTTTAACTGTTGGGAAGTGTATAGTTCAGGACATGAAGCACACTCCCATGGCTGTGCAACCATCCCCACTATCTATTTTGAGAACTTCTTCATCTTCCAGAACTGAAACTCTGTCCCCATTAAATTAACTCCCCATCTCCTGGCTCCAAACCCCTACAACCTCTAACCCACTTTCTATCTCTGTGGATTGCCTGTTTTGGACATATCATATAAATGAAGCCATACACTATGTTCTTTCTTTATGTCTGGCCTCTTTGGTTGAGCATAATTTTTCAAGGATCACCTGCATTGCAGCGTCAGTGCTCTGTTCCTTTGGGTGGCTAAAGAGTATATTCCATTGTATACATGAGTCACATTTTGTTTATCTGTTCACCAGCTGATGGACATCGGGGCTCTTTCCACTGTTTGGCCGTTGTGAGTAGTGCTGGTGTGAACAGGGCGTACACAGACTTATCTGGGTCCCCGTTTTCAGTTCCCTCAGGTACACACCTGGGAGTGGAATTACCAGGGTATAGAGTAGGTCTGTGTTTCACTTACTGAGGAGCCTGATTCCCCCCACCCCGCCAACAGCACTTACCAGTATTTGAGATTATTTACTTATTTCTTTGTTTATTCTCTGACCCCCAGCTAGATTATAAAATTCAAGATAAAAGAGACTTGGTTGGTCTTTTAAAAAAAAAATTATTTATTTATTTATTCGAGAGAGAGAGAACAAGCAGGGGGAGTTGCAAGCAAAAGGAGAAGAAGACTCCCCACTGAGCAGGACCCCGGGATCCCAGGACCCCCGGGAACATGACCTGATCCGAAGGCAGACACTTAACCGACTAAGCCCCCCAGGTGCCCCCGACTTGGTTGATCTTGCACACGGCCATGTTCTCTGCAGAGGGCAGCAGCACCCAGCGTAGAGGAGACTTCTGGGAGATGCAGGTGGAATGTGTGGATGCTGGCTCCCCTCATGGAGGTAAGACAGTACTCTGCTCATGTTGCTGCCTCACTCACTGCATCAGGGTCTGTGCCTTCCAAGCCCAAGGCAGAAAGGCGTTGCCCCAGAGCAGGGGAGGAGAGCCAGAGCCTCCTGGCTGGAGGAAGTGGAGCTCTGGGAAGAGACACTTTACTGTCAGTTGAATGGGAAATCTAGGCCAGTCTTTGTGTTGGGCACTAGGGTCCAGTGTGTGAATCAGAAAGACTTTGCTTTTGCAGAACTCCCATTTGGAGAAACAGATGGGCAAAAGAGTCTGGGCTGATTTAGAGACATCTTTGGAGCAGAGTGGCTTGGGGAAGGGCGCATGGGAAGACTTCCCGGGGTGGAGGATGGGCAGTAACGACGTGAGTTGGGCCCTGAGGAGTGGGCAGGAGTGGGAGGGATGAAGAAGCGGGAGAAAGGCATTCTGGACGATTTACAAAGCAGCGGTCCGCCCCTAAGAGCAGGCACAGGGAGCTGTCCGTGGTGCTGCGGCCACTGCCGAGCAGCCGTTGCAGAAACCAGGCTTGGCTCTTGTAAGGTTTATTTTTAACGGTGGTTGAAATATACATACATAACATAAAACTTGCCTTTCTGATCACTTTTAGGTGTCAAATTCAGTGGCATCAATTACATTCACAATGCGCAACCATCCCCACCAACCATCTCCAGAACTTTTTCACTTTTCCAAACCGAAACTCTGTCCCCATGAAACACTAACGGCCCCGCAGCCGCGGTTCACCATTCTCCCATAAGTTTCTTTCTTCTCCTTTCCTTTTTTTTAAAAGATTTTATTTATTTATTAATTTGACACAGAGAGAACTCAAGCAGGGGGAGTGGGAGAGGGAGAAGCAGACTTCCCGCTGAGCCCAATGCAGGGCTCGATCCCATGCCCCCGGGGATCATGACCTGAGCCAAAGGCAGACGCTTAACGACTGAGCCCCGCAGGCACCCCTGCAAGTTTCTTGAGATCAGAGATGTTGCACTTTGTGGTTGTTGTGTCTCAAGTCCCTAGACCAGTGGTTCTCACAGTAGGGCAGGGATTCTGCCCCTAAGGGACACTTGGTGGTGTCTGGGAACATTTTTGGTTATCATGACTTGGGGGATGGAGACGATGTTGGCGTTGGGTGGGTGCAGACCAGAGATGCTGCTCACATCCTACGACGTACACGCCAGGCCCCCCACAACGGAGAATTCTCTGGCTCCAAATACCAACAACATGGGTTGAGAATCCCTGTGCTAGAGAAACACGTGACTCATAGTCTGTTCTCACTGAACGGGGTTGAGGCAATGAAATTGCTGAAGCTCCTTGCCTGTCCTTTTCCTGATTTGCAAAGGGGATTAATACAAGGACATTCACGCCCCATTATTAGTTGCTTCTGTATTTGTAAATCTGCCTACTGCCTGAAATTAATCTGTAATGTTTGTAACCTCCAAATCAATACTCCCAGTTGTTTCAGGGTCATTGCAGACAACGCAGAGTGGTGAAAACTTTGAGTGCTGCCACACATGTTCCCAGCTGGGTTTGAACAAAGCACCACTTTGCCAACTTATTCCAGCCCAGGTTGTAAATGGCCCCTTTCGGGATCCATTTACTACCACGATTTTTGCATTTTTGCCCTTTTGTTGGTGGTTTGGCTGTTTCCAATGGTCCCCGCGTGCACTGCTGTCTGGTGTTTCTGAGCACAAGAAGGCTGGGATGCAGCTTACAGAGAAAATATATGTGTTAGTTACACTTTATTCAGGCATGCATTATACTGCTGTTGGCTGTTGACGAATAGACCATGTGTGTTAAATAAGGTGTCTTTAGACAGAAGCATACAGAGCACCAGATTATGTGTTGATGAGTTGATGAAAATATTGTGACCAGAGGCTCGCAGGAACCTACCCCAGGCTTTCCCCCAGGGGCCATGCTCCAGCGTTCATTCTCGCTGGGTTTGCTGCAACTTTATAAGACAGAGCTGCTGCCCATAATGAGAAGGAACTGTATCTACTTCTAGGGGCTACTGTAAGGACCAGATAAGATCACGCATGCAAAGCATTTAATGCTTGTAGTAAATAACATGGTGGGGGGGAGGGAGGGAAAGATATTATGTAATCCAGAGAAAACACTGAAACAGACTTGCTTTTGTATAAAGCATGTAGCTGTCCTTTGCTCCTCAGAGCTGCAGGGATTTGGAAGGACGCCCTGTGTAATTACCACTCTGAACTCTAGCCAGGGCATGGTGGGAGAGTGGCACTTGCCAGACCTGCTCAATTGTTCCTGGTGACCACATATGGTCATGAAGACTCAGGTGGAAGAATGCCATCCACTCAACCACCCATACGGCTTTCCTTGGTACCCTGGGCTTGCCATGGTTTCTGTCCAAGAATTAACTAGCCCTGTGCCCACTTCATATCAAGGAGGAAAGGAATACCACCCCTCTACACTCGGTACATGTACTGTTTTTTTAAATTAATTTTTTAAAATTGGAAGTAATTATAAATTCACATGCACTAAGAAATAACAGAGATTCTGTGTACCCTGTCCCCTCATCTACTCAATGGTAAAGTCTTACACGATTATAGCACAGCCTCACCCTTGCTTTCCATACCGTCGAAGCCAGATGTCCTCAGCACGAGGTCCCGCACATTGTCCTTGTATGGAGCTCCCGCTCCCCATTCTCTCCTCCCTTACCAATCACAAATATGTTCTCCATTTCTGTAATTTTCACGTTTCAAGACTTTTATGTAAATGGAATCACGAGAGTATGTAACGCACGTAACCTTGTTGCACCGGCCTTTCCGCATAATTCTCTAGGGCTTCATGCAAGCTGTGTGCGTCAGGAGTGGACTCCTTTTTCTTGCTAAGTAGCGGTCTCTTTATCTGAAATGTGCAGAACAGGTAAGCCCGTGCCGACGAAAAGCAACTAGTGCTTGCCGGGGGACTGGAGACTGAAGGGCGACGGCTGATGCAGACGGTTTCTACTCTGGGTGATGCACATGTTCTGGAGTCACGCAGTGGCGATGGGCGTGCAACTGTGCCCAGGGACTAAGACCACTGAACCGCACACTTCCGAGTCCAGAGTGCGAACCGTTACACTGAACC